GGGAAATGGATAACCAATGCCAGATTAACTCATTATCAGAGTCTATTACTTGACACTCCAAGGGTGCAATTCTTAGCCCCAACAGCTTTAAACCCCACCACCCTGTTACCTAACCCTGACCTAGATAAACCTCTGCACGACTGCTCAGAGATACTCGCAGAGGTAAATATGGTCAGAAAGGACTTGTGAGACTGCCTGTTGAAAAACAGTGACTTCATCTGGTTCATGGATGGAAGCAGTTTCATACAGGATGGACTAAGGTATGCGGGAGCCACGGTGGTAAACGACCAGGAGGAGATTATTTGGGCCGACACTTTACCGCCAGGAACTTCCGCTCAGAAAGCTGAACTTATCGCCCTGGTGGAGGCATTGGAAAGGGCAGAGGGAAAGAGGCTAAAGGACTATATGGACAGTTGTTACGCATATGCGACTCTTCATATACATGGCGCCATCTACCGGGAGCATGGGTTCAAAAACACAGAAGGAAGAGAAATAAAGAACCAGATGGAAATTCTTCACTTGTTATCAGCTGTGACCCGGCCACGAATGGTAGTGGTGGTCCACACCCCGGGACATCAAAGAAGACACTCCCCTGAAGCAAGAGGCAACCAAGCAGCGGACCAGGCAGCTAAGAGAGCTGCCCTCCAAATGGTACGAATTTTAATAACTAACTTACCTTGCCTGCAACTGGAACCCCTGCCTCCTACTCCCAACTATTCCAGAGAGGATGTCCAGTGAGCTGAGAAATCACCACAGATAGAAAAAGATCAGAATGGATGGTATATGGACTCAGAGGGAAAACTGATTCTCCCAGAAGGATTGGGACGGCGCCTTCTCACACACCTCCACCAAGTGACTCACTTAGGGGAACGGAAAATGTTGGAGTTATTGGACAAAGGGCAGATCTGTATGCCCCATCAGAAGCAAGCGGCTCAGAGTGTGGTGGACCAGTGCCGGGCCTGTCAGGTCATGAAAATAGAGAAGAGGAAGAACATACACGCAGGTACAAGGAAGAGGGGGAGGGAGCCTTGCTGTCATTGGGAAATAGATTTCACTGAAGTTAAACCAGGTAAATATGGATATAAATATCTCTTAGTGTTAGTGGATACTTTCTTGGGATGGGTGGAAGTGTACCCCACTAGAAGGGAAACAGCAGTGGTAGTGGCCAAAAAGATTTTAGAAGAGATAGTACCCAGATATGGAATGCCTAGAACGTTAGGGTCAGACAGTGGACCAGCTTTTGTAAGTAAAGTTATCCAGGGCTTAGCCTCAACTCTGGGGGTAAATTGGAAACTACATTGTGAATATAACCCTCAGAGTTTGGAGCAGGTAGAAAGAACGAACAGAACCCTAAAGGAGACCCTATCTAAATTGGCAATAGAAACTGGCAGAGACTGGGTGACCCTCCTCCCCTTTGCACTATACCAGGCTAGGAACACCCCATACATGCTAAATCTGACCCCATTTGAAATAATGTATGGGATGCCACCCCCTATTATTTCCAACCTGGAAAAATGTCCCAATGACTTGTCAAAAGATTTAATCTTGGAGATGAAAACTCTCCAAGTAATTCAGAGGGAATTATGGCCCAAACTCCGGGCTGTATATGAAGGTCCTCTTAGTGAACAAAGGATTGTCCATGGGCTTGAACCGGGAGATTGGGTATGGGTAAAGAGGTACCAGAAAAAAAGCACTGGAACCGAAATGGAGGGGACCTTATGTTGTTGTTCTTGTGACCCCCACTGCTGTTAAGGTAGATGGAATCAGCGCCTGGATACACCACTCCCATATCAGGAGAGCTAACCAGACGGAACAGCAGTCTGCACGAGAGAACTGGAAAGCATACTCCGATTCTGAAAACCCACCGAAAATCAAGTTAACACAGCACCATGGAGATTAGAGTCCTTCTCGCCCTCACCCTAAACTTCTACCACCTCACGATAAGTATCACAGCTCACCAACGCTATAAAGTTACATGGCGAATTCGCAAAGGGGAAACCCATGAGACCTTAAACTCCACCACCCATACCACCCCCCTTAATGTATGTGGCCTGATTTATTTTTCTCGCTCGTGACACTTACTGACTATTCCCAGGATGAAGGTTTTATCCATAAGATGGGGTTTTTTGCATGCCCTGGGTACAAAAGAAATGTCCAGCAATGCGGAGGGCTCATTTGGTATTACTGCAAAAGTTGGGGTTGTGTGACCTCTAATGATGGGGAATGGAAGTGGCATGTAAAAGCCCAGGACTATGTAACATTCTCTTTTGCCAAGCCCAGATATACTTATACGTTAGGAAAATGTAAAGAATGTGACTGGGTAAAAGTCTCGTTCACTGAACAGGGAAAGAAGGAATTAGCTAAGTGGAAATCTGGGCTTACTTGGGGTCTCCAAATTTGGTATAGGGGATACCCCTCTGGGGTGATAACCATTTTACAGGAAATAGAACCCTTAGATACCGGGCTAGTGGGTCCAAATGAAGTGTTAAACCCCCCAGAAAAAGGAACCTTACCCCCTACAAGAAAGACGGTGAAAGAATCGAGCACTGTATCTCCTGATGTTATAGTAAGAGTCCCCCCATACAACTCCAAGGGTCCAAGCCAATCCTCAGGACATAGACCCTCTTTGGAATTTAATGCTAGCAGCTTACCAAACACTTAACCATACTAGTCCTAACCTAACTCAAGCCTGTTGGCTCTGTTACAATGTAAAACCTCCATTTTATGAAGCAATAGGCATTAACACCTCTTTCAGCTATTCTCATGACCTGAACCCAAAGAATTGCTCCTGGAAAGACCGTAAGGTAGGAATTACTATACAACGTATAACAGGAAAGGGCTTATGTGTGGGGAAACCCCCCAACGCTCAAGAATGTTGCACTTCATATACTGAAGTAAACCCCTCCTTTAACTGGATAATTCCCAGGGAAGGGGGTTGGTGGCTTTGCTCGAAAGCTGGACTTTTACTCTGTTTAAACTTGAAAGTACTCAATCTGTCCTCAGATCATTGTATACTGGTGACTGTCCTGCCCCGAATTCTTTACCACCCAGAGGAAGAGATGTATGTACACTGGGGCGGGACTAGTAGAGAAAAAAGAGAACCACTCACTATAGCCTTTACTCTAGCTACTCTGGTTGGATTAGCAGGGACTGGTCTAGGAATAGCTTCTTTAACTGTACAGAAACAAGGCATGGATTCCCTAAGGGCAGCTATAGATGAAGACCTTGAAAGGATAGAAGCCTCTATCTCAAATTTAGAGAAATCTCTAACCTATCGGAGGTTGTGTTACAAAACCACCGGGGGTTAGACCTTATACTTCTCCAACAGGGAGGATTGTGCGCAGCTCTAAAAGAAGAATTGTGCTTCTATGCAGATCATACGGGAGTGGTTTGGGAATCCATGGCCAAAGTACAAGTAGGACTTGCCCTAAGAAAAAAGGAGCGTGAAACTCAGGAAGAATTATTCGAGTCTTGGTTTACTAACTCCCCATGGTTAACTACTTTGATATCTACTCTCTTAGGACCCTTCATAATCCTTATAATTATATTGACTTTTGGTCCCTGCATTATAAATAAGCTTATATCATTTGTAAAAGATCAGGTTAATACTGTACAACTTATGGTCTTGAGACAACAATATCAGTCTTTATCTCCTGTGACAGAGGAGGAAGATTCCTCATGTGTATAACAAAAAAAGGGGGAAATGTGAGGCCTGAGTTCTAATGGCCTCCAGGTATATCTTTAACCAGAAGTCTTTCAGTGTCGGGGATTCTAACACTCCCCATGCCTCAGGGCTTTTATCTACCCTCCGGACTCAGCATGTATCAGAGATTTCCTCCAGATTCAGCGGGTATCAGAGATTTACTTGGCTCCTGAAGTCTCCCATATATCAGGACTCTGCATCTTCCCTAGATAATAATTCCCTAAGTGGACTTTGGAGCCAGGGGATTCCAACACGTCCCCCAACATCTCAGATCCCTGCCCTATACCCCTTAGCAACAACCAGTCATCTGTACCCCTTTGCCCTGGTGCTACTCCACCCTATATTTTCCTATAAAAATGTGATAGTAACAGAGCACAAGATCTTTTGCCTTGGCCACTGCATTGGCAAGAGCAGGGACCCTAGCTTGAGCTAGCTAATAAACTTTCCTTTTGCTTTTGCATTATCGTGTCTGTGGTGACTTCCTTGCGCCGACATTCCTTTCCGGGCTCAACATTAGGTTTAAAGGTAAAGATCAAGCACAGTGAAAATGATTCTGGACATTCTGGGAGCTGGACATATGCACGGATTGGGAGCATTCTCTCCAGTTTTTCAAAGATAATTTAGTTGGCATGACCGATGGGAGGGTTGTTGAGACTAAAAGACACTGTGAAGCTTCTCTGTGAGACCCCAGAGAGATAACATTCACTCCTTTAGGGTATTGGAGACCAACATGCCATTTCCAACAAGTTTTCATTTGTGCTTTGAAATAGACTGACTTTCCTTCCTGATGAAATAGTTGGCTGGGGTTTAGGAATCATGCCATCTGAATAAGATGTGCTGCCTATTTATACTCTAGAGTCCTCATAAATGGTGCTGTGGGGAGGCAGCTGGTGCTGGCTCAGGAGAGCTACTTTTGGGAATCTTTTCCCAACTCTAGTTCCAATGTCAATATTTTGGCAGCTTCAGAGCAGCCTTCATGGAAGTATTGACATCACAGAAATGGGCAAATGCTAGAAATCAGAGTTTTTCATCCTGTTAAACAGAGCACACCAGTGCCCCCAGGCAGCACGATGCTCACCCTTGAGAGGGGAGTGGAGCAGAGATGGACCAAGGGCACCCATGATTTACACTCCCATCTCTACTGGACTGGGCCTTTAGTCTTTGAAAGGAAAAGATTCCACTAGGGTGGAATTGCTGCACAATCTAATCACTATTTATTTTTCTACATCTAATTTTTTGTTGTTGAGAGCAAATAACTGAATTTGAGAACTTGAGCTCTGTATGATGTCTCTATACTTGGAAGCAAGACAGCTGACACTGGAATTTGCCTTTGAGACCAAGTCTGTGATGGATTTATGCCTGGGCCCTAAGTGGGTGGGTGCCCACACAGGTGGGCTGTGGTATTAGTCATGGGACAACAGGGCTCCCAGGAGACTGCCCTGGGTGTGTGTGGACAACTAGAAGGGGTGCTCTCTTCACTTTCCACAGACACTGTGGTGTCTGTCCCCATATAATGATTACAGCAGATGATTGGCAGGATGGAAGGGAAGTTCCTAGCAGGGCCATGGCACAGATGGGCTCAGTGACTGAAAGCTGCTAGTGTTGTTTGTGAGCTTTGTGATATTCCCAGAGCCTTTGCAAGTAGAGCTGGGACCAAGGTGGGGAAGTGAGTGTCCCCTGCTTCACCTCAGTCCTGGCCTGTTTTGAGAGCAGAGGTCTTGCTTCAGCAACGGGGTGGAAGGAGAGCCAGTGACGGGTGGTTTTATCACAAAGTACCGAACAATTTGCCAGGAGAGATGGGAGAGTGCAGAGCAGAAAGCATCAAGATCTGCTGGGAGACAGGAGGGTTGCAGGCAGGCTGACCTTCTTGGAAGACATTTAAGCTGCATTTGAGGTTTGACAGACACTTGCCAGGAGAGTGTGAGGTGTGAGGCTGGAAGAGTCCTTTAGTGGGGAGTCATTTTCCCAATGAATAGCTCCTACTGTGGCTCTACCACCTTCTGACCCTCATGGAAGGGCTCAAAGGCTTGTGGGG